TTTACGATGAGTTCGTAGAGCGCAGTGCGGAGCGCGCCAAGAAGAGGACCGTGGGCAATCCCTTTGATCTGAACACCGAGCAGGGTCCCCAGGTTAACCAGGAGCAGATGGAGAAGATTCTCTGCATGATCAAGCAGGGAGAGAAGCAGGGCGCCAAATTGGTAGCCGGCGGAAGCCGTCCCGAAGGCCTTCCCGGCTATTTCGTGCAGCCCACGGTGTTTGCCGATGTAAAGGACGACATGACCATTGCCCGCGAAGAGATCTTCGGCCCCGTACAGCAGTTGATTCGCTTCAAGAAGCTCGATGAGGTCATTGAGCGTGCCAACAACTCGGATTACGGCCTGGCGGCCGCTGTCTTTACCAAAGATCTGGACAAGGCCAACTATATTGTCGGAGGTCTGCGTGCCGGCACTGTCTGGGTGAACACCTACAATGTCCTGCCCGCTCAGGCACCATTTGGAGGATACAAAATGTCCGGCCATGGCCGTGAAAACGGCGAGTATGCGCTCTCTAACTACACGGAGGTCAAGAGTGTCATTGTGAAGGTGCCACAGAAGAACTCCTAAAAAGTGAGGCTGTTCTTGGACCAGGGGTTCATCCCGTTGAGGTGCTCTAAATGCCGATTTCAACCTCTCTTGGTTAGCCTTAAGCTCACATTTACGCGCGATCTACATTTCTATATTGGACATACGATATGTTGCTAAAAACGGATACATTCATCCATAAGCTTTGGCCAGTCAGTCTCTGTGTTTTTTTTTTCCATTCAGTTAAATTCTCTTTAAGCGTATAAAAACTCTTTTGGAATATATAAATATTTTTAAGAGTCTTGAAAGCACTTGAGATATTACATTTCTCTACATATTCCACACCCTTTTTCAATACATTTTCTTAACCTATAAGTCGCATGTTCTTGTTCCATGTAATCTAGTTGCTTTTTATGTATGATCCCTCATGTACGAGGATGTTTGCAGATAGCTTCTTGGCATGGTTTATGGCACTCTTTGAACCGAATGTCATTATTTTGCTTATCCGCCAAACAACAGACTGTAAGTGCAAACAACAGCAACACTGAGGAAAATATTGATTGCCAGAGAAACACACAGAAGTGAGCAGCAGGACAGGAGCTGGCGGGAGAGAAGAAGTGAAAAACTAGCACTGAAATAAGCTTAAATTTATTTGCATTTATTGGCATTTTACTTCGTTTTGTTTTACTCATACGTGTATAGTTTGTGTCTGTGTGCGTGTTTTGGGGGATTTGCCAGGACAGACACAGCAGCATCAGGGACATCTTGGGCCCAGGGAGAGCCTGGAAAGCGGTTGTGTCCATTAGATTGGACAGCAGCTGAGCGTGTCAAGTGCTTTGCGGTTGCTTTTGCTTTGCTTTTGGCTGCTGTGGTAAAAAGTTTTCCTCTTATTTTCCACTTTGTTTTCCGAAATTGAATAAGCGCATTTGTATGCAATTTATTTAAAATTTGTATTTCAATTTTTACAATGCCAGCAAATTGCTTTTACACCCCAAACCCAACCCGTCCCCGGGGGCAGCAGTAAATGCATTACAAAACGCAGTGGCCAGAGAGAGCGCAGAGGTTGTTTGATTTATTTATGGGTTAGAGGGGAGGGGGGTTAGATATGCAAAAAGTTTGCATATTTAAGTGACAACCGGTGTATGCCGCTATCTCCATAAAAGGACACTCACATCCACTCTTAATTAATTTTGTATGATTTATGAATGTATCCATGAAACATTTTTTTTTACCATGCCAAAAATTCTTGGTAAATCGTTTTAAATGGTTTACACGAGGACACACTCATTTTTTATGCCATTTGAATATATTTCACACTTAATTCGATTTTTGCTACGGTGCGCAATCGAAGTGGCAAAATTGTATAAGCCCCACACGGCGCATACGCAATTATTTTACGCCAGCTTCTGAATTTTTCGCTCTACTCTTCGCTGCTTTTTTTGGTTTTTTGGGAGAGAGTGGTATAAAGTTATTTTAAATTGATTTTCGCTTGGTATCCAGCCAGCATTTCATACATATTTAAATTTGGAAAAACTAGCAAAAGCAAAGCAAAACACAAACAAAAAAGAAAGAAAAAGGCGTTAAAATTGCAAATGATCCATGAGCCAATTTTAATACCCCCGAAAAATGGCAGGTGGCCAAGAAGTGTGTGTGTGGCAAGTGGGTTAAGGGATGAACAGTAACAGGGACTAGGAATGAGAGTGGAAGAGGCAGTTGGAGCGAATAAGGGGGAGTGGGGACTGCGAATGATGATTGCCAAAAAGCGCAGCCGTGCGCATTGAGGCGCGTGCACAGGTGCGCTCGAGCGTTGTAGTTTTTAGTTCAGGCTCGAGTGCCGACCCATAATTGAAAATCATTTCCCCAAAGCGACAGAGAGAGAGAGCCGAGACTCGACTCGCCTCGACTCCTACCAGCCTCCTCCTGCCATAATTATCCTGCCACCAACTACCGCAAAAAAAACTATAATTCAGAATTTGCACTTCATTCGAGAAAGGCAGCAACCAAAGGGCGGGTGCCCGTCCCTTGCCGTTCCCTACACGACACTGGCCAAGTGCCCGGCAATTCGACTTTATCGCAGTGTGCACACTCGATTACATTGTTATGAGTGGCAGAGAATCGAGTTGGAGGCCTGAAGTGGCAACGCCAAATGACTAGAAAAGTAACGAAACGAAAACCAGTGGGAAAAGGACCAAGACCATCAACAGGAGTAGTCCCATGCCAACACTTTGATCATTAGCCGGAAAATGGCCAAGGACACGGCGCAGATAAGCCAAAAGGACAAATATAGAAAAAAAACCAGAGAAAATATACAAAAACGTTTGCAAAAAATGAACAAAAAACCAGAAGAAAATATCAGAAAAGAGGAAAAAAATGTAGCACTGATAAATCGAAAAAAAGCGCTTGGAAAAACGACCAAGGGGAGGCAGGAGTCTGGTGGTGCTGGGCAGGAGGATGAGTATAAAGGGGGAAGAGGAGAAGTGTAAACAAAAGGCTTAAAATACACATAGAGAGTGAAGAGGGTAAGTAGGGTAAGGGTGAAAATTAGAAAAAAGGGGAATGTCAGGGATTAACAGTGTAAAGGCAGATAAAGACATTTTACCCTGCTCTCCCAAAGGAAAAGCAACAGCAAAATCAGCTTAAATGCCACCCCGAAAAACATACAGCGCCCAAAAGTAGGCAGAGCAAATTTGGCATGTCCCAAATGTAGGGAACACTTTTTAAACTCCATGCGTTTAAAAGCGCGTCCAAATCGCATGGAAAACGTACCAATAACCGCTAAGCAGCCAAAGTGAAAAATTGAATTCAGATAAACGAGCACACACACACAGATGCACTGCACACAATTGCAGCGCACTTAACCCAATAAACTGCCTATAAAAGGCGGCTGGATGGTGGATGTGTCAGCACTAAGCCAGAAATAAACCTGCTCCTCATTCCACCGCACTGACTGCCAGTGCTCTCTCTCTCTCTCGCCTTTTGCTTTTCCGCTTCCCCTATTACCTAAGTTAAGCAGGCTAAATGCTTTTACAGACACATTCCCATTTTATGGCCTGTAATGCGATTTAGGCACAGTGGGAAGGAAGCGCTGCAAAATGGCATGAAAAGTGCGCCGATAAATGCGAAAAACTAGAAGCAAAAAAAGAAGCTAATATATCGATTGTTATGTCGATAATTAACGCTAAAACTGTGCCCAAAACCAACTGTTTGTTCTATTCAATATTGTTTTTTAATTTAGAAAGAAGAAATTTAGAAATTTAGAAGTACCAGAATCCAGAAAAACGTGATAAATGTTTGAATAATCGGGAAAATTGCTTCCGCTGACAAATTCACGTGAATATATCGATTGTAACAGCGATAATAATTGATTAAAATGTGCTTAAAACCGACTACTGATGGCTCTATGCAATTTCGTTTCTGAACCTACGAAGAAAGACGGGGAAAAGAAACACAAAAAGGTTCCTGCTCCACCGGAATCCACTCAAAATGCTCTCCAATTTTAAAGCTTAAATATCCTGTTGAGCTGCAGCCACACCGCAGGCACGCCGTTGCTATCGATTTTCACGCCACAGCCACGCTAATCGCATGAGAATGCTGCGCCAAACTGCTGTTGCAGTCAATAAGGTAGAAAAATGTGGTAGTGCCGTAGCAGCAGCAGCATGTAGCAAGCAACAACATCCAACAATAGCAG